AAAAAAAAAAAAAAAAGGAAAAGAAATGTGTAAATGTAGATCCTTTAGATTTCTAGGGTCGGGACTTGAGTAATTTACTTCTTTTTTTTTGAGACAAAGTCTCACTCTATCGCTAGGCTGGAGTGCAGTGGAGCGATCTCGGCTCACTGCAACCTCCACCTCCCAGGTTCAAGCGATTCTCCTGTCTCAACCTCTCGAGTAGCTGGGACTACAGGCACACCAGCTAATTTTTTTGTATTTTTAGTAGAGACGGGATTTCACCATGTTGGCCAGGATGATCTCGATCTCCTGACCTCATGATCCACCCGCCTTGGCCTCCCAAAGTGCTGGGATTACAGGTGTGAGCCATCGCACCTGGCCCCTTTTTTCTCACTTTCATTCCTGAATAGCATTTCAAAGATTGAACTTGTCTTCTTTTACTGCCTTTTTATCCTTGTATAAGAGGTCTTTGATTCAGTTTTCATTAACTTTCTAGGCTGTATGCTTCTTTGGCATCAAAACTCTTCTAGCTTTTTACCTTGCCATTAAAAAAAAAAAAGAAAAGAAATAAAAACGCTTTTATCTTTTCTGGCCAATTTATTTTAAAGAACTTTCTAAGGAAGAAAAGAAAAAAGCCATTTCCTCCTCTCTGTTTGAGGGAATGACTTCATGTCAAAACAAGACATTGCTCCAGGTCTTTCATGCTGGAAGGGAATCTTCAGCCAAGCAGAGTGGCTGTCCCCAAGCCTTTTTACTGTTCTCTGCCTTGAGCCCCTCTGCTGCATTGGTCCCCAGGGGTACACGGCTCCCCTGAAAGCTGACCGATGTCCCTTGTTATGATTTCCCTTTAACACAGGTGAGACAGGCAAAACAGGCACCACAACTTCATTAAACAGTAGTTAGTGTCAGAAAAGAAATAAACAAGAAAAAGAACATAGCCGGGTGTGGTGGTTCACACCTGTAATCCTAGCCCTCTGGGAGGCCAAGGTGGGTGGATCACCTGAGGTATCAGGAGTTTAAGACCAACCTGGCCAACATGGTGAAACCCCGTCTCTACTAAACATACAAAAAGTTAGCCAGGCGTGGTGGACACCTGTAATTCTAGCTATTTGGGAAGCTGAAGCAGGAGAATCTCTTGAACCTGGGAGGTAGAGGTTGCAGTGAGCCAACGTTGCACCACTGCCCTCCAGCCTGGGCAACAAGAGTGAAACTCCATCTCAAAAAAAAGCCTGCTTTACACTCTGTCTTAACAGAGCTTCTTCCAAGTTTCACGGGAAACTTAGAAACTCTTCTGTGGTCATTCATGTCAGTCGAGGACTTCACTGCCTTTCTTACCAGCACATTCCATCAGTGCAAAGATGGTCAGATTCAGAGGACTCTAAAGTCTTCCAGTCCAGGTGGTCCAAATCTACGTGCCTTTTGTTAAAGTGGAACAACTTGACCCATTGCTTCGAGCACCATTCCTTCCTTGGCTTAGATTTTTTTTTTTTAATTATTTATTTATTTAGAGAAGGAGTTTCACTCTTGTCTTGTTGCCCAGGCTGGAGCGCAGTGGCGTGATCTCGGCTCACTGCAACCTCTGCCTCCTGGGTTCAAGTGATTCTCCTGCCTCAGCCTCCCTAGTAGCTGGGATTGCAGGTGCCCATTACCACGCCCAGCTAATTTTTTGTATTTTTAGTAGAGACAGGGTTTCACTATGCTGGCCAGGCTGGTCTCAAACTCCTGACCTCAGGTGATCCACCCACCTCGGCCTCCCAAAGTGCTGGGATTACAGGCGTGAGCCACTGCACCTGGCTC